CGGCAGATTCTGCAGAAACCAGAGTGCTCTGGAAGATTAATTAAGTGGGCAGTAGAACTGGGAGAGTTTGAGATAACATTCCAGCAGAGATCAGCCATCCGAGCTCAAGCATTAGCAGATTTCATTGTCGAATGCACTCCATGTCCTTCAACCTCTAATCCAGAACCCAATGACTGGACCTTATATGTTGACGGAGCATCTAGTAGCAAGGGTTCAGGCGCTGGCGCTCTCTTGATTGGTCCAGAGGGATACTGAAGCGAACATGCCCTGAAGTTCAATTTCGATGCAACAAATAACATGGCTGAATATGAAGCTCTCCTACTTGGACTACAGCTAGCACTAGAGTTGAAAATCAGTGCAATTCAAGTATATAGTGACTCCCAGCTGGTGGTGAACTAAATCAACTCTATTTGCGAAGTCGTTGATCCTGTGATGGTAAAGTATGTAGCCTTGGTGGCCGAGCTGAAGTGCAAATTTCAGAAATTCTGTTTGAGTAAAATTCCCCGAGTTGAGAATGAACAGGCAGATTCACTCTCCAAGTTTGCTTCTGATAGCTCCTTAAGCTCTAGATCCGTTTTTGTAGAAGTCTTAGATGAGCCAAGCTTCACGAAGCCTCGGGTGATGGAGATTAGCACAAACCCTGACACGCCAAGCTGGACTGATTCAATTGTCTCCTTCTTACGAGATGGGATAGTGCCTGAGGACAGGCAAGAGGCAATGAAATTGAGGAAGAAAGCATCTCGGTATACACTTGTTGATGGAGTCCTGTATAAGAGATCTTTCTCACTTCCTCTTCTACGATGTTTAAACCCCTATGAAGCTGAATACGCACTTCGAGAGGTACATGAAGGTGTCTGTTGGAGCCACGTCGGTGCTAGAACTCTGGCTCACAAAGTTTTAAGGCACGGATACTACTGGTCAAACATGTACAAAGATGCCACTTACTTTGTTCAGAAATGCCCGAAATGTCAATTCTTCGCACACCTGACTCATCAACCAGCAGAAGAGCTCACGAACTTGGTAGCGCCGTGGCCATTCGCTCAATGGGGACTAGATCTTTTAGGCCCATTTGTGAAAGGGGTTGGTGGTGTAACCCAT